TTTTAATTGGTACAGTTCTTTATTTGATTTGGTACAGTTCTTTATTTGAAGTGCAGAACATTAATATCTTTGATTATGTCATTATTTTCTCTTTCATTACTTTGATTTTTAATTGTTGCTGCTATTTTTCTCTTGTGGTTTCTGTTATTTGGTACAGTTCTTTATTTGAAATAGTGCTATTAATATCCATTATTTTTCTCTTTCAGTTACATTTGCTATCCATTTTAATTGTTGCTGCTGTTGGTAGTCCTCAAGTGATGTGGTTTCTGTTATTTGGTACAGTTCTTTATTTGAAGTAGTGCAGAACATTAATATCTTGATTATGTCATTATTTTCTCTTTGAGTTACATGTGCTATCCATTTTAATTGTTGCTGCTGTTGGTAGTCCTCAAGTGATGTGGTTTCTGTTATTTGGTACAATTCTTTATTTGAAATAGTGCAGAACATTAATATCTTGATTATGTCATTATTTTCTTTTTCAATTACATGTGCTATCCATTTTACTTGTTGCTGCTGTTGGTAGTACTCAATTGATATGGGTTTCTGTTATTTGGTACAGTTCTTTATTTGAAATAGTGCTATCCATTTTAATTGAACATTAATATCTTCTTTATTATGTCTTGATTTTCTTTTTTTTTTCAATTACATGTGCTATCCATTTTACTTGTTGCTGCTGTTGGTAGTACTCAATTGATATGGGTTTCTGTTATTTAGAACAATTATTTGTGGTTCTGTCATGTCAGACCACATGGTTTAAAAAAGTATAATCCTTGCTATGTTGTGGCATCTTTGATAATCTTTAGATGTTTCTCATCTCTCAGATTCTTTAGAATCAGAAAGCAGAAATGCTTCAATCTTTTATGCGATTCATCAAGTAATTTTAATTGGGCATAGTAGCCTTTTCCTTACAAGGAAACATTCAGCACTTATACTTCATTCCACAGAATATAGTATGAAACAAAAATCCTTTAGATAAACACTATTTTCATATTTGTTTATAATATTATTTTTGGATTTTACTCTTTTAAATATTGTTTTTATGTCTCTTGTAATTTTAATTCTATTTAATTTCCTGGTAGTATTTATTAAATTAAATTTACTTTGGGGGAGGGAGAGCTTAACATTATTTATTTTTACTTAATTTTTCTTTGTTGCTGCTCATGTCTTTGTTAAATTCATTCAGCTGCTTTTTAAAAAATAATTTATCAAGCGAACAGAAAAGAATGGTTAAAAGTTTAAACAGAATGCTATTTATTTTCGGACAGTTTTCTAAATACAATGGGCAAAAGTAACAAAAGAATTAATGGACCCTATTTTTACAAAACCTTCATTCCAAACAGGTCTTATATGTTTTATGGGTTTTCTTCCTAAAAATTCAAAATCAATTTATTTTTTAACAGCGATGAAGATTTAAATTTCTAACAAAATCTCCATCATTTTTACTTCACTGTTTTCTTTCTTTTTTTTTTTTTTTTTATTTCATTTTATTTTTTCCTTTTCTAAAACCTTCTCTTGTTATTCTATGATGGTACATCAATAAGTTTATAGCCTACTTATGAAAAAAGCATTTTTTTCATACAACAAATATTTATTTTTTTAGCATGATCTCTCATCTTGTTGCTGTACTTCATCCAATGGAGAATGTTAATCTCATAGGATGAATATTATACACTGAAAGTTTCAGATCAAAATTCATCGATTAAATTTGTTAGGCTTTAGACTTATCGTTCTTCTTCAATTTTCTCCCAAGCTATGTGTGCTCTTTCTCTGTATATATCTTTCTTTCTTTTCCCTGTTATTCTCTTTCATACATCTCTCTCTCTCTCTCTTTGTCTTCTCTCATTTTGTTTGTTTTTTTTAAATTTTTTCTCAGTTTGTTTCTGAACCATTGTCCTTAATTTATCTTTATCAATATCTGCTGTTTTCTTCCTTTTTCTTTATTTCTCTATCTTTCTCTTTCTCAATCTTTGTCCTTTTCTCTTATTTTCTCTTTCTTGCTTTTTCCCTTTCTGTTTTTCTCCTTTTTTCTTAGTCTTTCTTATTATCTCACCTTTTTATTTTCTCTTATTCATTTTATATTGTCTTTCTCTGTTTCTCTTTGTCTTTCTATATTGTCTTTCTACTTTTCTTTCTATTGTGATTTTTTTCCTTTTTGTCTTTCTTTAGTATCATTCTTTCTTTCTTTCGGTTGTTCTTTCTTTCTCATTGTTTTTATATAGTGTCTTTCTTCCTTTCTATCTCTTTGTCCCTCTATAATGTCTTTCTTCATTTCTTTCTCTTTGTCCTTCTATAAAGTATCTTCCTTTCTTTCTCTTTGTCTTCCTATAATGTCGTTCTATTTTTCCTTCAACTCTCGCCATAGAGTATATTTCTTTTCTTTTTCTTTGTCTTTCTATAGTTACTTTCTTTCTTTTTCCTTTGTTTTTCCTTTCTTTTTTCTTTCTTTCTTTCTTGTCTTTTTTATTTTCTTTCCATTTCTCGTTCTATAGCATCTTTCTTCATTTCTTTCTCTTTTCTTTCTTTTATGTTTTCCTTTCTTTTTGCTTTCTATGTCCACCAATATTTTTTCTTTCTCTCTTTTTTTCTTTTATCCTTCTTTTTTGACTTTTTGCTTTCATCATTCTCTCCATGAAGTACTCTTTCTTTTAATTTCTCTCTCAGCTTTTTTCTTTTAACTTATTGAAATCTCTCTTCCTGATTTTTTCTTTTATCAAACCTCACTTTTCTCTCTCTCCCTTTTTTTATGTCATCTGTCTTCCTATCTGTCTCTCCAAAACTCCATTGTACTCTTACCATCTCCCTTTTTTTTCTCTCTTGCACCTTCAGTCTCACGCTCTCTATGTATCTTTCCTCTCATGTTTTTACCTACTCTTTTCCTCTCTTTGCACACTCTTTCACCTACTCCCTTCATCTATCTTAACGTACTCTCTTCTATTCAAATTCTCTCCCTTTTCTCTCTTGCAATTTCTATTCTGTTTTCTCCACCTCTCTCTCTTTCTCTTCTTTTCACTCCATGTCTCTACTGTTTCTGTCTCTACATTTCAACCTTTTTCCTGCTTTCTCTTTTCCTCTGTCTCTCCATCTTTCCATTCTGCTTTCTCTTTCTTTCAACTCTTTCTATCCATTTTTTACTCTCTTACTTCTACTGTCACTGTTATTCTGCCTCTCCAATTTTCCGCCTCCATCTCACCATCTTTGTTTTTCAACCTTGCCATTTTTGTACCCTCTCTCTCTGACAGCTCTTTCTATTCATATCCTTTTCTCTTCTTTGAACCCTTTGTGTCTCTACTCTTCACCTTTCAGCTCACTGTCTTTGTTTCTCCCTTTCCCCTCTATTCTTTCAACCCTTTCTTCACTGTTACTGTTGTCTCTCTATTTTACACCTACTCTAGCAATATCTCTGTTTTTGTCTTCTATGAATCCTCTCTTCACTGTATATCAAATTAGTGGATCTTCCACTAGTGTCTCTACCATTCTCTCTCTTTTCTCTTTCTCTCTCTCTCTCTCTCTCTCTCTCTCTATATATATATATATATATATATATATATATATGTATATACATATATGTATATATATTTTAGCTCTATCTCTGATATTGAGCGCGTTCTAATAAGTACCGCGCATATAATATATAAATAATTATACATATATATATTTATTTATATTTATATACACTTTTCACGTATATGTATATATATATATATATATATATATATATATATATATATAATAGCATCATTACTCGGCGTTGCCTGTGTTTATTCAAAAAAAGATCATGAACATCATCCAATATGTAAAGTTAAAATAAGAAAGATTTTTTTAGTGCCTCTTATCTATATAGCAAAAATTATAATGACATGAAGTGTGAAAACATTTATAACAGGAGAAAGAAAGTTGTTTTTTATAGAAGCACAGAAGATACAAAAAATTTGTCAGCAAATGAAGAGTACATTAATCGCAATCGATCTTTGAAAATTGTTGAGGAGAAATTCTTTGTTGACAGCTTTTGCTCAAACTACATCGAATGAACAACATGCATTGGAAGGAGAAGAAATTCAACAAAGACTTCTAGCAGCTGTGCCAAGGCTGGAAACTAGTGTTCACAAAGACTGTATAGAATTGTTCTTTGCCTCTCAGTTTCAACAGCTCGAGTAGCAGGGTTCTGGCAGTGTTCCTTCCTCGTCTAGTTAACTGTTGGTCATTAGTTTCTGCTGACCTTGCATTAGCTGTACAAATAGCATTTTGTGTCACTTTAATTTGAGTTTCTTGTTGTGAAGCATTTCTTTTCCATGCTTTCATGCGTTTGGTTGTAGTAGTAGCATGTCCAAGTGAAGGATTTCGCTTTCTTGGCATTACTGTCAGGCTGTAGTTGGAGGGATCTGGCTAAGCTTTTTGAATAACAATGAAGTAATCAAATAAAAAGCAACAATATTATACACATTAATAGAAATATAGCCACAATAAATTAAATGCAGGTTTATAAGGGAAACCCTGGGAACGTGGTAAAAAATTACAAGCAAGCTCATAAAGTTAGGATTTATCTAACAATCTAGTGATAAAAATAAAAATTAACGTGCAGCTAGAACTCTACTCACTATGAACATTAAAACGTACACGCTAAGTTTAGCATAATTATAGATGAATCGAAAGAAGGTCTTTACATTATTGTAAGTGCATTTTTCAGAATAAAACTGTCAAAATTTTAGGACTCAAGTTTCCAAATATATGAGTTACTAAGCATTATTTAAATGCTGATTAGAAAATGATAAATACATAATTAAAAATTGGCATTTATGCTTAGACTTTTTAATAATATGATTTTCACAAATTTAAATTTAAAGTATCAAAAATTCAAAATATACATGCATGAAGGCAGCATACCTTTCTACTGGATGACAACTTTAATGCAAATGAGATTTTTTTGCATTTATTTCATCACATAGCACTAATGAACACTACACGTGAAGCAAAATCGATAGTACGCACTTCATTCTTATGCTTATGGCCACACCATATTGAAACACGATTTCCTGTACAATTATTAAAGTTAAGCAATATTGAGCTTGGTCAGTACCTAGATGGGTGACCACTTGGGAATACCAGGTGCTGTTTGGATGATCATAATTTAATTGGATAGTCGATAATATTAGTTGGATAGTCTAATTCCAACACAGAGAAATTACAATATAAATCACAATAAATGGAAGGTAAGAAAGAGGTATCTTACTTGTAATATTTCCAGAAGGGAAAACTGGAATTACAGTGGCTCCTCTATCAACCAGGTTAGCCCATGTCATTTTTCCTGTAAGGCCTACCACTGTGGTCAAATGATGTCCTTCTTCTCTTGGATCTACATCACAACTGTCTTCATCAATCTCCTGACATCACTTAGCAGCCAACATGTGCTCCTTGTGACTATCTCAACGAAAGGGAGAGAATCGCCATTTGTAACACAGCAATGGGTTTTGTTTATATTTCAGCCTTGTAAAATGATTAAACCTAACTGCCAATCTAGTACTATCCTTAAATATGTGAATTCGAAGTACTGAAGAAGAATGCCTGTCAGAACAATGGAAATATTTATAGAAAAGACATAAGAATTCAATGTTATGGCAATGAGAAAGTAATTGCTGCTGAGATGCCAAGTTAGAACAGATAACATTGCAGATTTTTCTTTGGATTTTGTCAAGAATCTCTAGATATATAGCAGGAGCAGCAGACCAGATATGGCAGCAATATTTAATGTATGGACAAATGGTAAACCTATAGATAGATGTGTAAGATTGATTCTATTTTTGAAGCCAAGATACCAGGTTAGGACAGATAACATTGCAGATTCTTCTTTGGATTTTGTCAAGAATCTCTAGAGAGACAGCAGAGGCACTAGAAGAGATGTGGCAGCCACATTCAATATACGGAAAATTTATTGACTTATAAGGACTATCGATTTGTGTCCATAAGCATTTATGGTAAAAATGAAAAATGATACCTGGAGTATGCAATGCAATTTCTAATTTCACTGGAAACTATGTCTTTTTTTTCTACAAGACTATTAGTTAGAGGGTATATGACCTTGAAATTTGTAATAAAATGTAACAATAAGCTATAACTTAATAATAATTAAGAAAAATATTTCATCTCAGTTATACAAACTTGTTGAATTACGAAAAATGTTTCATAGGTTGTTCAGTTTTTTTGACAGCTACCCAAAATACAGCATTTTTATTCTTTACAACCAAGCTGAACTGTGAGTCATCCATAAAGAAGGGAGATAACTCTTCTTTCCATTATCAACAGTTCACAAGTTATTAAAAACAAAGAAGTAAAAAAGAAAGACTTTTAAATGTTAAAAATAGAAAAATGGATTCTTATTTTTCGCTAATTCCTCATATCCATCATGAAGCAAGAAACGGCCACATTCCATTCTTCTTGGAAGAAAAATTCCATTTTGAAAATATCCCATGATGAAACTGTAATCCATTGCTGAAGGTTAAGTCTTTCAAAAGAAAAGTTTTCTTGTGACATGTTTTTATTATTTTTCATTTGATTCTTTAGATTTTCAAGCAGTTTATTTTTTAAATTTAATTTTGTCTTATTTGTGACTCTTGAAGAATTCTTCCCATATTCCATTTCAAAGAATTTTTATAATTAAGACCAGCATCAAGGGATTACTACACCATCCAATTTCTACTAATGGAGAAAATTACTCCTTTTGTTAGAGCAATAGGCAGGAGTTCCTAAGGTTAAAATGTCATAGTGATGGTTGGGGTATTGCTCAGACAAATTTTCATCTCAGATGCAGAGAGAATGTTTCATGAAAAAATTCTAAAATAGAAATATTAAAATCTTGAGATTAGGCAAGGTCTCATCATTTCACAGTTGAGCTGGCTAGCTCTAACCATATATGCTCTATGCTAACAGTTTCTTTTCTCACACTTCTCACATGTAGAACTCTCTTCTGGCTCCATGCTTTCCAACTAAATTTGATGTACAAAAATTTAAATTCAATGTCAGTCATTATCTACTCTCTTCTTGATTACATAATAATGTTTCTTTTTTTTTCTTATTCTTTCACGCTCAGTAACCTCTCGTGACTTAATGACATTACTGTCTTGCATGGAGTGAAATGATGAAAAAAATCATTTAAAATCTCTGTGTGAGTAGCAAGGATGTTCTAAAGAAAGTATTCCAGGAAGGCAAAATGAGGAAAGAAGATCTAGAGAATTTAGCACTCAAAGGATATGCTGAAGGCAAAAGAAGCATGGGGAAGCAACCTATATGACAATATTTCTTTGAATAGATGACAGAAATGGGACTAAATCGGATGGAACAGTTAAAATTTACTGAGAGAAACAGAATACAGGAAGTTGTGAAGTGCCATGATAATCCACTTCTTGATTATATTACTTTAGAATGCGAGCTAGAAGAATATAAACACCTGTAGAGAATTATATAATTTTCAAATAAAACAAAATATATTTAAAAATGAAAATGCTTTTTACAGAGATTTCTGTATTACCCATGACAAATTAATTCTATCAGTGACAAGTTAGTTTATTAGCTACTGATCCATTATTGGATCCCTAAAATGAAATGATTCACACATATAAGTCTAATAACAGTGTGCATATGCACAACTGACCTTTTCACTTTGCACTTCTGAAAAACATATTGTTTTATATGACTTGAAAAAGGTTCTGTTCAAAAATTGTGTAACGCATCAGTTCAATATTTCTTTGTAGAAATTAACAAAATATCCACAATATACCAAAGGTTTTCAATAAACTTTAATAGAAAGACTGCATATTGCATGTACATGAACACAATTTGTGCAAGAAATTCTCTGAAGGTCAAAAGAATTATCAAAGATGACTTTCATGCAAACTTTATCAATACTGAGGAGAGTGCTACAGCATGGAGAAGACTTTCTCCCATTTGATCTTTGATGATTAAAATAATAATAAAAAATACTGAGGAAGGTACTTATTATTGAGATGATATGCTGGCAATTGATCTTCAGTGAAAGCCACTACATATGATTGGTAGGAAAAGTCAATGATTATATTAATAATAAAGAATACTGAGGAGAGTGCTGTATTATTGAGAAGACTTGCTTTCATTTGATCTTCAAGTAAACCACCAGATATGATTGGTTGAAAAAGTTAACGATTAAAATACTAATAAATAATACTGAGGAGAGTGCTGTATTATTGAGAAGATTTGCTCTCATTTAATCTTCAGTGAATGCTACTAGATATGATTGGTTGAAAAAGTCAACGATTAAAATACTAATAAATAATACTGAGGAGAGTGCTGTATTATTGAGAAGATTTGCTCTCATTTAATCTTCAGTGAATGCTACCAGATATGATTGGTTGAAAAAGTCAACGATTAAAATACTAATAAATAATACTGAGGAGAGTGCTGTATTATTGAGAAGATTTGCTCTCATTTAATCTTCAGTGAATGCTACTAGATATGATTGGTTGAAAAAGTCAACGATTAAAATACTAATAAATAATACTGAGGAGAGTGCTGTATTATTGAGAAGATTTGCTCTCATTTAATCTTCAGTGAATGCTACCAGATATGATTGGTTGAAAAAGTCAACGATTAAAATACTAATAAATAATACTGAGGAGTGTGCTGTATTATTGAGAAGATTTGCTCTCATTTAATCTTCAGTGAATGCTACCAGATATGATTGGTTGAAAAAGTCAACGATTAAAATACTAATAAATAATACTGAGGAGAGTGCTGTATTATTGAGAAGATTTGCTCTCATTTAATCTTCAGTGAATGCTACTAGATATGATTGGTTGAAAAAGTCAAACGATTAAAATACTAATAAATAATACTGAGGAGAGTGCTGTATTATTGAGAAGATTTGCTCTCATTTAATCTTCAGTGAATGCTACCAGATATGATTGGTTGAAAAAAGTCAACGATTAAAATACTAATAAATAATACTGAGGAGAGTGCTGTATTATTGAGAAGATTTGCTCTCATTTAATCTTCAGTGAATGCTACCAGATATGATTGGTTGAAAAAAGTCAACGATTAAAATACTAATAAATAATACTGAGGAGAGTGCTGTATTATTGAGAAGATTTGCTCTCATTTAATCTTCAGTGAAAGCTACTAGATATGATTGGTTGAAAAGTCAACGATTAAAATACTAATAAATAATACTGAGGAGAGTGCTGTATTATTGAGAAGATTTGCTCTCATTTAATCTTCAGTGAATGCTACTAGATATGATTGGTTGAAAAAGTCAACGATTAAAATACTAATAAATAATACTGAGGAGAGTGCTGTATTATTGAGAAGATTTGCTCTCATTTAATCTTCAGTGAATGCTACTAGATATGATTGGTTGAAAAAGTCAACGATTAAAATACTAATAAATAATACTGAGGAGAGTGCTGTATTATTGAGAAGATTTGCTCTCATTTAATCTTCAATGAATGCTACTAGATATGATTGGTTGAAAAAGTCAACGATTAAAATACTAATAAATAATACTGAGGAGAGTGCTGTATTATTGAGAAGATTTGCTCTCATTTAATCTTCAGTGAATGCTACCAGATATGATTGGTTGAAAAAGTCAACGATTAAAATACTAATAAATAATACTGAGGAGAGTGCTGTATTATTGAGAAGATTTGCTCTCATTTAATCTTCAGTGAATGCTACCAGATATGATTGGTTGAAAAGTCAACGATTAAAATACTAATAAATAATACTGAGGAGAGTGCTGTATTATTGAGAAGATTTGCTCTCATTTAATCTTCAGTGAATGCTACTAGATATGATTGGTTGAAAAGTCAACGATTAAAATACTAATAAATAATACTGAGGAGAGTGTTGTATTATTGAGAAGATTTGCTCTCATTTAATCTTCAGTGAATGCTACCAGATATGATTGGTTGAAAAAAGTCAACGATTAAAATACTAATAAATAATACTGAGGAGTGTGCTGTATTATTGAGAAGATTTTCTCTCTCATTTAATCTTCAGTGAATGCTACCAGATATGATTGGTTGAAAAAGTCAACGATTAAAATACTAATAAATAATACTGAGGAGAGTGCTGTATTATTGAGAAGATT